TAAATCAGTGCTCTTCAACTGGCGATCTGTGGGCCATTTCTGGCCTGTGGGTGATTTCAGTCTGGCCCACCAGTGAGTTGATTTAAAAAACAAATATAAAAAAATAGTTCTGGGGTTTAGGTTTTGGGTTCTGTTTATTGTATTTATGATTCAATGCAATAAAAGAAAGATTTAAAAGGTAACATATCATTGTGATACTTGGTTTATTTACAGAATGACTTTGCTGGATGTCTGGCCCCTGAGCTGAAGGCTTTCGGAAACTGTGGCCCTTGAGCAGTTTTTTTGAATAGCTCTGCTGTATATGTTTATTAAATATTATTTTAACCAGCTACAGAAGCTTTAAAACAAAGTATCTCTGGTTTTGTAATGATTTTCTCTTAAATCTATTGGAATCTGTGAGAGATGCTGAGAAAATGTTTGACTCCAGTCTCAATCTGGGTTACTTTTTTGAGTCACTTCCATTATCATCTTATGTTTGTGTTGGCACTATGAAAACAGATTACGTGTGTTTGTGTGACACTGCCTCCTACCATTCGGCGGATCTCTTTCTCACAGTCTCTTTTGGTCCTGTTGAGCTCCTCCTTATGTTGGTGATGAGCTGTTCTGAGCTCTGCTGCTCGGGCCTGGCATGCCTGCTGAGCTGATGCTAGAGCTTCCTCTGCATTCTTCTTTGCTCCTCGCAGGTCCTGAGCTTCTTGCTGGAGGTGACAACGTTCTGCCTCCCAGCTCTTCTGGGCCTCCTCCACCTCCACCAACAGGGCAGCCTTCACCTGAACAAAGAACTGAAAATTAGTCTGAAACAAGTCCAACCCACTGCAACTCTGAACCCTAAAGTGTCTGTGACATCAAATTTTCATGAGAAAAACTAATGCATATTTGGAAACATAACATTAATAACACATTGCCAATAAATATATAAATAAATCATGCTGCTGAGATGAACAGTTGTTCAGATATGTTCAGTCAAAGGAAGTGATGTCTGTCACAGGAAGTGATGTCAGGAACATGAATAATCTGATATTTCTCTATATTTTTTAAGTCTCTTCCAGAGGAAGAGTCAGTTTGCATGAACAAAGACCAAGAAGTTCCTCTTTTAAAGAGCTTCTTTTGATATCACTTCCTTTTGCACTTTGGCCATGCCAAGTTCAAAAGAAAATATGTATGTGGCAATATTTGCAAAATCATGTTTACTATGTTTTCTTCCAATTTTGTATTTGTAGGAATATTATGACTGGAAGCTGATCTTGTACAAAAACATATCAGAATTAGTCATATGCAAAATGTTTTAATTAAAGTAAGATAAGTCAAAAAAAATCTAAAAACAATGACAGTAACCATTATAAAGCAACAGGATTAGAAATGGGACATTTGGACAAACGGGCACTACCTTGTTTATTGACCCATCTCTCAGCATTTGGATGGATATTGGATGGATGGATGAAAGGATGGATGGATAGATGAACAGATGGATGGATAAAAGGACAGATGGATGAATGTATGATGGAAGGACAGATAGACGGACTGATGTTCTCCCACCTTGTTTGTAGCTTCGTCTCAGCATTTGGATGGATGTTGGATTATAGATGGATGGCTAGATGTTGGATGATGATAGATTGATGTAGGATGATGGATCTAGGATGTATGTATGTATGTATGTATTGACAGACAGATGGTTCCCTCATCTTGTTCACTGATCTGTCTCTCAACATTTGGATGGATGTTCGATGATGGGTGAATGGATGTAGAATGATGGATAGATGGATCAATGTTGGATGATGATGGATGGACGGATGTTGGATGAGGCTGAATTTAGGATGATGTATGGATAGATGTTCCCTCACCTTGTTCACTGATCCATCTCTCAGCATTCAGATGAATTTTGGATGATCCATGGATAGATGGATGGATGGATGAATGGATTAATGTTGGATAATGGATAGATTTGGATGATGGATGGATGGATGGATGGATGGATGGATGGACAGACAGACAGATGGTTCCCTCACCTTGTCCACTGATCCATCTTTCATCATTTGGACCAGTCCATTTAGTCGTTGGATTTCTCCATCTTTGATCTTGATGACTCTCATCAACTCCATCTCATGTTGCTGTAATAGTGTCTCCCTGGTAATGGCCAGTTCCTTCAGCTTTTCCTCATGAAGTTTGGTCTTCAGTTCAGTCACGATGACTGTAGCTCGATGATGCTCTGCCTTAAGCTCCTTGCTTTTCTCCCTTTCCAACCGGCTCACCTGGTTTGATCCGACAGCGGTACAATCAGAACCACAAAACACATGGTTCTAGTGAAAATATTATAGTGGGTCTCTGGGTTTTTGTAGTTATTATTACCTTGCTCTTCTCCTGTTGCAGTTCGATTTGAATCTCTGTCAGTTTGGCTCTCAGCTCCTCATTGGCTGCCTGAAGTGTTGCCATGACATCTGGTCTTTCTCCTTTGCCCCTCCCCCCTACTCCTCGTTTTGACATCACCACTGTCAGTAGGCTCCACCCCTTTATGAGCTATATGTCAAGCTGTATTGTGACTACACACAGACACACAAATCTGTGGTATTTCTGCAGTGTTAATAGACATCCAGATCCACCTGAATCTGCTCACATGTTTGATCAAGAAGAAACAGACTGACTGTCTCCATGGAAACAGCTGTCATCATCACGTCACACATAAAAAAACTCACTGACCTGGAAGCCTCGGATGTCTCATCGTTGTGTTTGTGTGCAGATCAGTCTCTGTGCAGCATGCTATCAGCAGCTAGCCTCACTGCAGCTCTCTCGCTCTGTGTATATGTGTGTGTGTGTGTGTTAAGCTGTGTGTGCAGCTTCACTGCCTGTCTGATTGTGAGTCTGATGTGTTTTAGTCAGTTCCTCTGTTTTTGTGTATCTGTGCTGTTAGTATCTGTTCAGCCTCTGCTAGTACCATCTCCTCCTCTTCCCCTTCCTCTTCTTCCTCCTCCCAGCATCCTTCAGTATGATGATGATCTGAGCCTGTGAACTCTGCTTCCCTCTTCTGGACAAACATCATAATCATACAGACTATATTAAATATTTTCAGATACAGAAGCAAAAAAGGTTATAACTTGAAATGGAAACTTTGTTTCAGCCTTGCAGCTTGCAGATGGTTTAGGGGGTTCAGTATCATCAGCAAGGGACTGCTGATCACATGTTTTAACTGATCCACAGTGATGAAAGTTGGTATAAGGTTATCACAATTATCACATTTAGCTTCTCAGGACTTTTTGTCTTTTGAATGTTTGGCCTTCAACCTCAAAGCCCCCCTCCTGATGAATGTTATGTTGATTTATCGGCCTCCCAAACCACATGTTTCATTTAACTCAGAGATGCATGACCTCACTTTTTTCTGTGCATTTCCTGTGAAAAATATTATTCTTGGAGATTTAAATATCCACATTGATAATTCCTCTTTCCCTCTGGCAGCAGAGTTTAAGTCTCTTTTGGACTCTCTCAATCTCACTCAATATGTTGATGCCCCTATGCACAACAGGGGGCACACTCTGGATTTGGTGATTACAGACACTGTACGTATCAATAACTTATCTGTATATGACCTGGGTGTCTCAGACCACAGTGTCATCTCCCTGGAAGTACCTTCAACTTCATCTGCTCCTAATCCTAAATGACTTATCCAGTTCCGTGACTTTAAAAACATTTCCCCTGAGGTTCTGTCCTCTGATCTCCACTCCCTGACCACTGTCAATCATTCATCTGCAAATGACTCTGTTGATTACTACAACCAATCTCTCCAGGAGCTTCTGGACCTCCATGCTCCCTTTAAAGCAATGCTGGTGTCTTTCTCCTGCTCAGCCCCTTGGTTCACTGCTGAGCTGCACAAGATGAAAGCAGCCGACCATGCTATTGAGAGATGTGTAAAATCATCTGGTCTCTCTGTACATCAGCAGGCATATAAAGAACTTAAGAAAGCCTACGCCTTTTCTCTTAAATAAGCACGGTCCAAATATTATTCTAACATCATCAACAACTGCCCTGGAAACTCTAAACAACTCTTCTCCACAATAAATCATCTCCTTAATCCCATTAAACAATCTCATGAGGACTCTGTTCAAAAATGCAACCTGTTCCTTTCATTTTTTAAAAACAAAGTTAACTCCATTAGATCTCAGCTCCATAGCCTCCCTGATCTTCATCTGCCATCTACCCGTCTGCATTCTGGGTCCCTGAGCTGCTTTGATGAGGTTGTTCAGAGTGAAGTGAAGACCATCATCAAGAAAATTAAACCTTCCTGTGCCCTGGATCCCTTCCCCTCGTCTCTCATTAAATCCAATCACTCTGTAATAAGTCCATTAATCACACAAATAATAAATAAGCCACTGCAATCTGGTCAAGTTCCACTGCCTCTTAAAACTGCCATCATTAGGCCTCTTCTGAAAAAATATAATTTGGATCCAGCCGTTCTTTCTAATTACCACCCAATTTCTCACCTCCCATTTCTGTCAAAAGTGCTGGAAAAAGCAGTTGCTGCTCAGCTGCAGATGCACCTACAACAACACTCTCTGTATGAGAAGTTTCAGTCTGGCTTCTGTGTAGCTCACAGTACTGAGGCCGCACTGCTGAGAGTCACCAATGATGTCCTCATGGCTGCCGACACTAGTTCTCCCTCCCTCCTTGTTCTCCTTGACCTCACTGCAGCTTTCGACACCTTGGACCATAATATCCTCCTCCACCGTCTTCATGTGGAGGTCGGTCTCTGTGACACTGTCCTGGACTGGTTTAAGTCTTTCCTCTCCAATAGGCTGGAATGTGTTAGTCTTGGCAATGCCAAGTCCCAGACTGTCTGTGCCTCCTGTGGTGTCCCTCAAGGGTCACTTCTAGGGCCCCTGCTATTTTCCCTTTAATAATTTGACATAAAGGCAGCATGTAATCAGCACAACATTTCTTTTCACTGTCATGCCGATGATGCACAGCTTTACATCAGGACTGGAGCATCATCTTCTTCATTGTCATCTCTATCTTCACTCGCTGCCCTCTTTACCTGCCTGGAGGAGATAAGGGCATGGATGAATCAGAACTTTCTTCAGTTAAACTGCTCCAAAACAGAGGCCATACTGATTGGCAACCCTGTTCTGTGAAATTATCTTTAACAAGATAGATACAGGTTCAGGGAAGGGTCAGAGCAATGGATAAAAGAAAACTCTCAGGCTGTTTTTGCTAGAATAATAAGTGTCATTTATTAAACCGCCACAAATACAGCAAAGCAACGTACATTCACTACAAATCAAGCATTGATGTAAAACCCCTCACTGTGACACCAGACCGAGGAAGCCGTTTTCAGTCGGAGTAGAAAGGTAACATCAATTAGGCAGGGCATCGGATCAAGATCCACAGCAGACTTCAACTCTTATTCTGAGTTAGGGTTAGGGTTAGGGGACTGAATCCTTCTCCCATAGGAGAAAGTAGGTGCATGGTCCATCCTCTGGGAGGCCCATGGTTCTGGTTCCAGGAGCCTTGTGGGGGACATTGGTGTCTCCCATAGTGCACCCTGGTCCAACCATCCTCATTCATAAAATCCCCCATGAGGGTAGATGAAAGTTATATTTATATATATGTAATAAACAAGTTCCTTCAAAATAAAGCTGTTTTAATAAAGTCCAAAATATTTTTTAATGAAAATTGACTGATTATTATTTAATAAAATTAAAATCAAAACTGAGATTAAAAAAGAAAATAAATGTAAAGCAAAAGGAGATAACAAGTTTTTACCGGAGCAAATTAAATTACTACAGAAATAAAAAAAATGTTAAAATTCAAAAGTTTGTAAACGAAAACAGTAACTAAATGAATATTATGAAAGAAATTATCAAAACTAAGAACAAATTTAGTGTTTAAAAATTAAATAAAAAAATACAAATCTACCGGAGCAAACTAAATTACTACCGGAGTAAATGAATTGATTTTATAATAAAATAAATATTTTAAAAGAATATTATTTTTTAGCTGAATCCAATTGATTTTTTTTATGTATATTATTTTTAAGAAACCATAACAAAAGTGTGCCGGCGTGACGTTTCGGCTCTTTACAGAGCCTTCTTCAGGCAGTGGCACACTTAACTGAAAGTAAGAATTGGTCTGCAGTCCAATCTGATGTTGCTCCCTTGGTGTCTCATGAGCAAGTGGTTTCTGCCCTGCCCCTCCCTCTCATTTTATACTCCCTAGCCTGTCCAAGCCACACCCCCTGTACGAAGCCCATTGGTGTGTATGTGGCTTCTACCGGTGTGGTTGGACTAGAGCCGTTTATGTGTAAAAATTAAATAGTTTTTGTAATTTTTAATGAAATTTTTAATTTTTTAAATTCTTTCAGATATACTGATTTTGAAAAAAATATTTTTATGTCCCATTATGTATATTTTATATTTATTTTTGAAAATAAACAGGCTTCTACGGTTTTTGGCCATGACCAAGAAAATGTCTTATTTGGCTCCACAGTTTAGACGTCAATATTAAGGTTAAGTTTAGGTTCAGGGTTAGGTTTAGGTATTTGGATCGAATAAAGGTTAGGTTAGGTTTAGGGTTAAAGGTTAGATTTAGGATTAAGGTTAAGTTTAGGTATAGGGTTAGGGTTAGGGTTAGGGAAAGATAAAGAGGGGGGTTATAACCTGTGTTGCCTTAGCAACCAGGAAGAAGCACTCTCCATCCTACCCTAAGAACCCAGTATCCTCAAAATAAATAGAAAAAATGTGCATATCTCCTAGGGTTAGGTTAAGGGCTAGGGGTCATGTGGACATTAAAAGTCCTGTTAAGGTT